TGCACAAACAGGCTGAAAGTAGTAAAAGATTGTCTTTTCAGGTAAAGAATAATTTTTCATTTAAAATAAATAAGAATATATTTTTTAGGATTTAATGGCTTTATCAAAGGTCCACAACAGGTCTAAAGTATTTTATAATCGTGAATTTTATGGATTGCCTATACCAGCAGACTCGATAAATAAAAATAATTATAAAATGCGAAACATACACAACTTAAAGGTAAGTATATATAAATATGCAACATATGCTGGTATTTTTTGTGTTGCGCTGTTATTAATGTGAAACCCCAGTTAGAAATACAGGTCGATAATAAATCGAGAAAAAGTTGAAAAATAATCAACAATAAACTTATATCGAACTCCTGAGAAGGTAATTGAATGTTAACAAGTAGGTAATGCTTGTTCTAATTATCACTTTTTTAATTGTCGCCTTGTCGACCATTATAATTTTTAATTGCTAGCGTTGTCAGCCATTTTTTTTTTAATTGTTGCCATTATCGGCCATCATGACTTTTAATTGATAGCGTATTATTTATGTTGCTAGACATTATTCTCTTTTATTATTAGAGTTATTTAGGTAGTGTTGGCTGTTAATTTGTTAATGTTAACAGCATATTAATTATACTCACTGTTCGCATTATGTAGGGTTTGCGCTTTGCGAAGTTTACACTAACGAATGTCTATTGTATTTGTGATAGGTTTTAAAAAAATTACGATTGCCATAGATTACAGATGTATAATTCTTATTACAGTACATGTATATTTCTCTAATCTACGACAATTCCTTAGCTATTGATAACTTTATCAGTGGCTTAATACACTGATTTTCTTTAATTTCTGGCGAGGGGGATAACCTGTCCCTTTTTATACGACCCTGTCCTGTGTTACGTGTTTTCATATGTTTTTTTAGTATGGAACTTCTGTAAGTCCCATGGTTGATATAACAAATATGCAGACACAAATTTCTAGCCTTGATACTAAAAAGCAGATAAAGTTGCAAGGGCATGTCTCATCTACAACAAATATTCCACCAAAAATTGTAATAAAACCACAGTTTCAAACACCAAATACAGTTTATTTAAAGCAAATGAAAATGGAGATAGACCCATAAATGTTTCACTGTGACATTCTTTGTTTTTGTTGACATGTTACTGGATATTCCGTTACAAAATGTTTAATTATACTGAAATACCTCTATTAATAAATAACTGAAAAGAGAAAATCCAATGTCCCATTTGTTCATTTTATTTAAAACATGTTGAATAATTATTTAACAATAAATATAAAAGATTCATTCACATAATTGTAGCTTTATAACTAATCATCATCAATCTCCATTTTTTTAACTTCTGAAGCTGCCTGTTCTTCCTTATAATGCCTGTATTCAGGCTTCAATTCCCACATATTTTTATGAGGATTTTTCAAATTGTAATTACACACTTCCTTAAGGATTTCTTTCAAATATGTAATGGGCTGTTTAGTTATTTTAACCAAATCTTTAATATTATAATATTGATGCTTTTCAAATGCAGCAAATAACATTTCCAATACAGCATCTTTATCATCCCTAGCTTTTTTACCTTCAGCCTTTTTCCGTTCTTGATATTCAATCTGTAAGAAAATATTTTAAGCATACTTCTCAGTAGTGACTAAATTTCACTTACATTGTGTTTATGATCAGATACTGGTTTATAATTTTGGACTATCTTATCTAATTGTTTCACTTTACGAGTTGGTACAGATGCTTTACGTATTGAATCTAATTTTAATTTCATATAACAGTTATCTGCATAAGGCCTACATTCTAATTTTTGAACAATTCTACCTTCCATAAACAATTTTTCTGATTCTGGTACTACTGCATCTGTGTTTGTTGCTAAAAAATAAACATGAAACTATGATCAGATGTCATCACAAAAAATGTAAAAATATTCCTACGAGTCATATGTGAAAATACTCCAAGAGTTTGTTGAGTTACTGTGGAAACATCAAGTCTGTGATCTTTTGGAATATTTTCTTCTCCATTTTCGTTTAAATTCAAAACAGCAGGAGAAAGTGTCAATGAAACTTGCGCTTTTTGTCCAGGCGTTCTACAGATTATAACATTACTTTTGATTAAGATTACAGATTAAACATACTTTGTTATTTTTAATTTTCCCACTTCGATGTCTCCAGGTGCTTTTTCCCATCTGTTAGCAATATACTTTGGAACTTTAACCAACCAAACTCCCCTATTGGCATTAGATAAATCTAAATCTCTATCCAAATGAGTACTTGCAGCAGCCATATCTTATCTTATAATTTGTCAAATTACAATATATAGGTAATTATTAAATCTTTAATAAATAACACAAATCACTAAAAACATTAAAAACCATGTAAAATTAACACAACAATAATTCCACTTTAATATCTTACCATTGTCTTACCACAGATTGCAGAAATATATACAGTCATTACATCATTACATCCACCCATAGATTAGACGATACACGATAGCATCCACCATAGCATCATAGTGTTATGCATATATGCAATGCATTGTGAATGTGGAGCAATCATTGAAAGCAATACATACAGTGCGCATAATAATAATAATAATTATTATTAGCCCGTTTTCACTTGCTCAATGTTACCAGTGCAAACTGAGAAGTCCAGGATAATAATAATAATAGATTAATTTCACCCATGTATAATTAGATAATGCATAATAAAAAAAGAAAAGTTCCAAATTTGGAATATACAAAGGAAAATGTTTGTTAATGGTTATGATAACATATTATGTCATTTCCATTATCTGAATCAGAACACGGATACTAGAAATCCATGAATTAGAGAAATAAGTTCGAAAAATTAAATAGTCATAAGGGCATGGGGTTAGGATTATAAGATTAAGGTATGAAGATGATATGAATTCAATGTTGGCAGTAATCATAGATAAAGTAATATTATAATAGTAAACAACAGTATTACAACTATTGTCTATGATAACTATTATAACCATAGATAATAGATCTACAAAGGGTAGATTATAACTCATTATTATAGACATTATAGACAACTCGTCATATAACCTATAACAGTTTGTCATTTTCACTATAAGATGATAAGATTTGTATAAAATAAATAATGATTACACTAGACGGCACTGATACTGTTTTTCATTTTTCATTGAAAATAAACATTCATAATCATTTGCCGTTGTACATTTAGAATTCACAAACGATTAAATTTTGTGAATGGTTAATAAAAATTATAGACAAATAAGAATCTAAGGTTTTTATGTTTTGTGTTGATTAATTATTGTATATTGTGATGGTGTGATGGTAATTTTATAGGGTGAAATTTTGGACATTAAAAATAAGTTGTACATTAAAGAAATATAAAAAAAGACTATAATGTCTTTCTCAACATCTTCAGTGGAGCTTAGTTCTTATCGTGATCAGCATTTTAAGGTAATTACGACTATTTTCCGTGTTTTTATACTTTTTAAAGCTTTTTTCTAAGGGCACTAGAGCAGAACAGGATAAATTACTACGATTAACTACAACCTTATATGTGGGGAATCTCTCCTTTTACACAACAGAAGAGCAAATTCACGAACTATTTTCAAAGTGCGGTGATATTAGGAGGATAATAATGGGACTTGATAAATATAAGAAAACGCCATGTGGATTTTGTTTTGTGGAATATTATGCAAGACCAGATGCAGAAAATGCGTTAAGGTATTTCTGCATATAGGATTTACTTTTTATTATTAAATGTTCATATAATAATTGATTAGGTATATAAATGGTACAAGATTAGATGACCGTATTGTTAGAACTGATTGGGATGCAGGATTTATAGAAGGAAGACAGTATGGGCGTGGAAAAACTGGAGGACAGGTAAAGTTTTTGTAATAGTAACTTCTATTTTTTCTCTTACTTTACATTTATTTCAGGTACGTGATGAATACAGAACAGACTTTGATTCTGGGAGAGGAGGGTATGGAAAAATTATTCAACAAAAGGTTGGAACAACTGATGGTTCATTTGCTCGATAACTAGTTTTTAATATTACGTCAATTCATCTTCATTAATTTTTTGTATTATCAATTTTCATAAATAAATTTAGGGTTTTTTGATTATGTTACGNTATCGCTACCTGAACAATTGCACATTTAATTAGGTCCCATCAAATTATTCGTATCAATAAATAAATAAACATTCCTAATTTAGAGCTTTTTGCTGTTTCCATATAAGATTATTATATTTTAGTTCTCAGGATTAATCCTATGTGCAGACCTACTACAAAAACCTCTAGAAGATTTTATGTATTATAATGCATAAAATGTATCTTAATACACCTGGTTCAATAAATAAATAAATTTCGTGAGTAGCCGAACCAAAGATGGCCCCTAATATCCATAGACAAACCAAGGTCTTTGTTCCTTGTTGCACCCATGCGCATAATTTTCTGTGATGGAAACAAATAAAACAATCGGATTTAACCTATTTTTATTTTGTATAAGAACTATTTTATTCAACTTTAGGGAAGGTTTATGATAAGCATGAAAAAAAAAGTTAACATTACAAGACAAGTTTTCAAACATCAGCGAGTTATATTAGCAAGTGTATTTTCTTTTATTTTTGGCTCATTAGTAACTGTTAACTTTGCTCAAATAAATAAAACATGCAAATTAGATGATACCGATCGAGAATACAATATAATGAAAAACTCAAAATTGAAGAGTGATGAACTGGTTGTGTTAATTTTCTCAGCTCCTGATAATTTATCAAAACGTAATGCAATTCGGTCGACTTGGCTTCAATTTCAACAACTTGAAGTTTCGCTATATACTTTCACTCATTATTTTGTGATAGGGAAGCCTTCCAGAAGTGCTAAAAAATACGATCATATCGTTGAAGAACAATCCTTTTACAAAGACATATTGTTGCTCCCGATGTATGATGGTTACAATAATCTTACTGAAAAGGTGTTAAGAAGTTTTGTTTGGCTGAAAGAACAAAGAGACTTTGGTTTTAATTTTAAATACGTTTTAAAATGTGATGATGATTCATTTGTAAGAGTTTATGATATATTACATGAAATATCGGGAATTGAAAACTTCTATTTGAATCCACATGTTAAATTTAGAGACCCAAATAATGATAGTTTTTCTCGGTTTTTAAGTGCCAATTTACAGATTAACAAAAATGTCAAAATTAAGAAAGATATGAATTTGTATTGGGGATATTTCACTGGGAATACTAAATTAAAGAAATCTGGGAAATGGAAGGAGGAAGAATGGATGCTTTGTGACTATTATTTACCTTATGCATTAGGTGGAGGATATGTGCTCTCAGCAGATCTTGTACTGTATATAGCAAATAATGCAGATACTCTCAGGTAACAAAAATTAAAACTTTATAAACCTCACAATAGCATTTGAGACAGGAAAAAAACTGTTATTAATGGAGGTGCTATATAATTCAGATTGATTGCATATTTATATTCCTAACATATGTACATCTGAAAATTTGTTTAAGGCAGTACAATTCAGAAGATGTAAGCGTTGGGACTTGGTTAGCACCTGTTACAAATACAGTACGTATTCATGATGTCAGATTTGATACAGAATGGATTTCACGAGGTTGTCAAAACTATTATTTGTTAATTCATCATGTGTCTGAAAAACAGATGCACGAGTTCTATTACAATATGTTAACTACAGGCCATTTATGTACAAATGAAAGTCTGATTAGGATACCATACCTATATGATTGGAAAAAGCCAAATAGTGAATGTTGTATGAAGACTGAAAAGAAAGGCAGCTTACTAGATAACATAAAATCCTTCTTTCCAGTACCTAACTAAACGAGTACTTTATTAGATACATACCTGCATATCTATAAGTTGTTATTTATTGACTAATTATTATAATATATAAAATGTGTATAATGCGTGATGTCCACTC